ATACATACATACATACATACATACATACATACATACATACATACATACATACATACATACATACATACATACATACATATATACATACATACATACATACATACATACATACATACATACATACATACATACATACATACATACATACATACATACAGTACATACAGCCTTATGTAAAAATATTCATATTTTTATATAAGGCGGCATCTATCATTTCTTAAGTTGATTCTTTTAAAGCACCAGATTATATCTGAAGATAAAGTCTGCTAATGATAGGCCATGTTTTGATAGAAAAGAAAGATCTAAACCAAGCTTATTTTGGCACAGAGTTTGAGTTTGTTATTTCATAACCATGTTCTTTTATTTTCTGTCTGCTATAATAGAAAAATATAAAAGTTTATCTTTAAGTATATCAATCTCTACCTCAGATTGAATCAAGGAAACCAGTATTCATAATCAGTGTTTTGTTTTGTTTTTTTCTGTCTTACAACTTTATTTAATTCCTTATTGTGGACATCAGGAAGATAGAAGCAGTTATATTTGTCTATCTTGATCTGTTTTTTAGGTGTATATGAGGGCCATGGTGGACTACTACCCCCTGCAGGACTCCTCTATACCATGTCCAGATGCAGGAATGGCTTTCAGCAGAGGGGACCTGCTGGAGGTGGTTGACCAATCAGATGCACAGTGGTGGCAGGCCAGAAAGGTTCCCTGTGGTGCTTCCTTCGCTGGTCTAATTCCTTCTGCCAGCACCCTGAGGAGGTGACACACACACACCTGCTAGCAGCTCAGTCTGCCACCAGAGGGAGCAATTGTTTCTCCAATTGTTTTAAGTAGCTTATAGCAAAAATGTGATATTCCATTTTTATTGACTAATATGACTAATTGACTAATTGGCTATAAATGAGTGATTTGTACTTATTGAGTATTTTATAATAGCCGTGTTGTTACAACTCTGACTGTAATTATCTACTAGTATATCTCTATTTTCACCTTCACAGTAAACAGAGGGAGCAGTGGTGGTGCCATCCTTCCCAGGTTCACACCTGCATCAGGCCTTGTGAGAACATTCACTATGTCTGAATTTATGTTATATACATCCATACTGTACATTTCAGGCATCCATTCAGTCTCTCTAGACCAATTTTAATAAACTATTCTCAAATGTGCGTTATCATGAGGCAACGATACACATTTTCATCTGATAGACAGGATAAAGTGCTTAAATACTAAATATGAACTGCATGTTCAGGTGGAAAAATCTATCATTTACAGAAATGATCTTTGTCCAGCATCCTCGGTGAAAATTAAATATATATATATATATATATATATATATATATATATATATATATATATATATATATATATATATATCTTTCTACCTTTGAACATAGTTGTGGATATGGGCTTTTGATGCCAAAAACTTAACAGGTTTTGTATAGTTAGGTCATAGCTCCTGCAGACAATCCACATGCTCATAAATTCCCATGTAAAATAATTACAATATTGGTCCCTCAAACAAGTAAAAAATTATCAAATTAATCCAGAATGCAGGGCCCGTTATTAAGTGGACAGAGAAATTAGGTATATCCCTTTAATCAACATATATACTGCTTACCTTCTTTCTGTGAAATATGTTTCTAGTCCTTTTCATAGGAGTGAAGCTAAACATCTATAAACCTTTATTTAGCATGTAGTTTTCAAATTATAATGTTTGTTGTCAGAAAAAGTCAGAAAAAGTCTTTAAGTGTTCATGCATATTTCTACCTGTGTTGCATTTATGGAGAATCACTTTCAACAGCAGTTTGTTTCCTTCCTGCTTCCTGAAGACAGCGTGGCTGATAATGGTGAGTGTTAGTGCTGATAGTGCAAATGCTCACATTTTTTGGCATTTACAAGAACCACTGTGCACTGTTTAAGATATACCAGCGATGGACAAAAGCAGCTGCAAATGTTTTAATGAACCTTTAAACCTTTAAATGTTCCTTGGGTAGATGAAAATGCTTTTTTTATCATCATCTAAAACGGGGGGAAGTGTTGGCCAAGTGGTTAGAGCAGTGTGCTTGTGCTCTGAGAAGGTTGCAAGTATACTGTTCGATTCCCACAGCCTGCACTCAGGCTCTCTTAGCAAACCCTTAACTCCACACTGCTCCCCAGCCGCCACACAATGGCAGCCCACTGCTCCCGCAGGAGATGGATTAAATGCAGAGATACATTTTTCCAGTGTGAGATCAACAAAGTTCAATTAAACAGTGTTTCCCAACCTTTTTTGACTTGTGTACCCCTTTGGGCATTTTGCCTTACCATAAGTTCCACTCTCAGTCAAAAATATGATAATTGTTTCAAAGTGGAATGTATAACTTAATTAAAGACTATTTTACTTAATCTTTTAATATGAGCATTTTATTTTTTATAATCTAATGCTTTACATTTCAAATATAAAAGAAAAACATAGATATGTTGCATTGAAGTTAATAAGGAATCAAAATAAATACAAAATAAAAACCTATTATAAACCTGTATTTATTAAGCTGGGGCTCCTCTGAGTATCTCATTTATAAACACATTTAAACTTGATGAATTTAATACAGAACAACATACAGAACAAAAATTCTAGTCAGACTGAGTTAATTAGTTTTTATTTGTATTCATCAAGACACCTGAGCTACTCTGATGAGCTCTGATAGCTCAGTGTGAAAAACAGTTGATAGCAGGCTGTGCTCTACATCCAGTCTGTTCCTCAGCTTGGTTTGGATGTGTGTCACAGCTGAAGGTGAACTTATTTTACTACCTACGAAATAAAATATTTTCATGTACCCCTGGCAATGCACTCGCAGACCACTAGAGCTATTTGTACCCCCAGTTGGGAAACACTGATCTAAACAACTATTCATTGTAGACCTCCTCCTTTTAGCGATATGGAAAGCTGAGGTTGAAGTGAAGCTGTCTTTGATTTATTTTAAATCAACCAACATGGCGTAATTTTTTTAAATTCACATGCATTGATTGCCTAGGCTAAGATGAATAAACGATTAGAGTTGAATCTGGTCAAAGTGCCCAGTGGGTTTAATTGTAAAGCAGCCTCACACTGTCAGTGTGCCCCAGGACAGCGCTGGCTACAATGTAGCTCACCACCATCAGTGTATAAATGGCTGAATGTAATGTGAAGAACTTTGGGGACCATTTCTAGAGTACGATACAAGTAGAAGCCATTTATCACATTTATTTACCTTTATGTGACTCAAATTAAACATTTCCTGTTTTGTTTGGTTCTTTACAATTTGTTATTTTGACAAAATAATGAGGAAAAAACATAGGGTTTTAATAGATTTCTAAATTTCCTAAAATTCAGACATTTTAAATTTTTTCATTGTTATTTTATGGAAATGTCTAATAAACTTTGTAACTTAAGTCAGATTGATAGAACGTTTGGTTCAGAATTGGTCAATCAGAGCCCTGTATGCTGTCAATCAACAATCAATTTGCTTTCCTTAAGCCGCTTAGTTATTAATGCAATTCAGTTTCTTTATATAGCACCAATTCACAAAACTTCTCATCTCAAGGTATTTAGCAGAAAAAAATCAATCAAATCATGCAGTCAGAAAACAGCTGATTGCATCCTGTCATTGATTTTGCAAGATGCCCTCCTCCTGGATGCCAAGAAAGTAGATATTTGCTTGCTTTGTGTTGCTGCGCTGTGTTGCAATCCCTCAAACCAAGCATGCATAGAGTGACAGTGGAGGGGGAAAATTCCCTTATAAAAGGAAGAATCCTCCAGCAGAACCAGACTCTGTCTGAGCGGCCTTATGTTGAGGCCAGAATTAATTCAGTTATTAATTATTGTTTAATTGTAATCAATTGGTATTTAATCTCCTGTTAAGGTTTTGGTCATGGACATTTGGCTCACTTATGCATACATTTCTAGACATCTTCAGAACTTCTTTTGATTTTTACCAAGTATTTCCTCTTGATGCTGTCCATTTCACCATTATCAGTCTCTTTGTAATCAGATTACAGCCAAACACCTTATATTTTGGCTTCATTAGACCAGAGAAACTTTTTCATAAAACTACTTTTCTTTTCCCAGAGAAATAAACAAACAAACTGTAATCCTGCTTTTTTTTAATTTCCGTTGCAATATTGGCTTCTTTCTCCCTTGAGTTACCTTTAACAATATGGTTGAAGAAAATGACATTCTATCGTCAGCTAAATCTAAAATCTTTAAGAATATTTTGATTTTATCCTATGGTTCATACTTTCATACCAGATAGATATGTGGCGCAATACCCCATGCTGTTTATTTTGGCGTTTAGTATTGGGTAATATTACTGTCAACAAAAACCTATGCATTGGCCTAATTTATAAATGAAGGTTTAATGGTTTGATATTTGTATTTGTCCCTATTGTGAGCTCATACATAACATATTACATCAGATTTTTAATCTGCGAGCATACAAGTTTAGCATTTATGAAAACAAGCCCTCTAAGCTCAACAAAAAAGCAATTACAAAATAAAAAAATTCTGAGAACAAATCAGAAATTGAAAGGTACAAATCACAATTTTCCAGCACAAATCTAGAACCCCTAATTAAGCTGTTACTTTCTTTACCAGTTGGTGGCTCTAATGCAGATGAAAGTGATTCACTTACTGCCTCTAAATGAGAAGAAGAGAAAAAAGTAACCATTTAATGAATTTTTATTCTGTGCATGCTTTGAAAGCAACATTTAACAAAGATATAAAATAAGATCAATGTTTTATCGTCCTCCTCCTTTCGTTAGCAAACACTCTATAGTTGCAACACTGCCACCAACTGGTAAGGAGTGTAACAGATTTATTTAGGTTGTAGAGTTTGTTTTTTTTATTTTGCAGAGTTGCAGCTTTGTTACTTGTACTAATAATTAAAAAAATAGTGTTCTCCCAGATGAAGCATCTGATGCTACGTGAGTCTAGAAGAAGCATACCAATCTTCAATATAATTACATTCATTGACTGCATTTACACATTCAGACACCTATGCTTACATTTCACTGACAACTATCTTACCTCATAATGCAGTGGCTTAAATAGATGAATCTTGTGCCTTCAGCTTTGTGGAAATTGGCTATAAGATAAACCAGTCTCCTCATGGTTTACAATTCTCTTCCTGATACCTTTTCTCATTTTTTTTTGACTGTCCATGTTTTCAGAGACAGAAGGAAAGAGGCGTTTCTCCATTTAACCAAATTATGTGAATCAACCTCACAGAAGCTTAAAAAGCAATAAGTGGTTAATAAGAACCATAATTCTAATAAATCCAAAGAGAGAGTTTTGTATTATTCATTGTCTTGTTATTGTACCATTTATTAGCCAAAAAAGAAAATTGCTTATCAATAGAGCTAAAAAGGAAACGTTTAGTCTGATTTATATGAAACCTGTTAGATCTCTTTTTAAAAAGCAATTTCTGGTGAAGTGCTGCCATTATGTCCGTGTTTTTTGTTACCGTGATACCTTCATCAGTGTGCTATGCTGACATCTTGAAGCGTGGCTTAAAGGAAACAAAGTTTAACTGTTATTTTCTGCCTGTAGAGGAGGATCTAACACAAGCTGATGGCAAGAGGATCCAAACTGGTAATGGCACCATTTGAAAACATGAGACGTTTGAAAGACTGAAGTTTGGCTCCAATTTTAAAAAGGCATTTCTCTTTTTAACAGATTTGGAAAACAATAAAGAAATTAACTTTGGTGGGTAAGTTTGTCCAGACCAGAATGAGTTCCTCCACTCCAGATATTTAAATATAATTTATATGACTCCTTAGAAGTCAGTTTTTTATTCATTATGTCATTCTATAGCTAGAGTCTGTTCCATTGTTTATATAGATAATTAGAAAAATAATTCATAATTTATTGAAATTACTGAATAAGTAAAAAAGAAGGGAGCTGATGAAGATATTGTTTTCTATATATGGTGAAACAGATGTTAACCTAATAGGTTTGGTATTTCATTTATCCAGTTTTACCAAAAAAAAAAAAAGTTAAGATTTGTGTTTTTTTTAATGTAATATCAATGTGCATCGCTGTCACTTCACTTACGGTATTTATTTATTTTTTTTACTTTGACTTTTGATGTTTTCTGATTGGAAAACAAAAGTAAAAAAAAAAGTCATTGGCAGGAGAGTAAAAAGTGAATGTTTCTTTCTTCAGATGAGGAAGACTCAGATATAACTGAGGGGATTTATCTTGGTAAGTCACCGGCTCCCTGATTTTTAACAGCACAGACTTGATCATTTGTTCATTAAAATATTTATTCATTTGAACTGTTATGTATAAAAAGTTAGATATTGTAGAAAATATTAACTAAACCAGTCATTTTATTTAAAATCTATATGGCTTTTTTCTTATTGTAAGTTTCTAGAGTAAATACATTGAATCTAAAATGTACCTAGAAATGTTGATAGTCAAGCTGAAAGAGTTATTTGGTAAGATCCCTTTATTATTCACATGTTAAAATAGAACCATTTACTGACTCAATTCATAAAATATAGATATTCATGAACATACAATTATTTAGGTAAAAACATATATATTTTACCTTTGAGCAAGGTAACACCTGCAATATGTGGACAGTTTGCTTTTATATCAAATTGTATCTAATTGCATAATTTGTAAAATCAATATATTATTTGAACCTAAATCTGTTTTTCAGTAGAAAGTTAAAACATGTTTTTTTGGCCTCCAACAGCGGGCTTCCGGCGGAGCTTCCGCCTCTGGAGGAGGACGTCCTATAAGAGGAGGCGGCAGTCCTGCACTTCCTGCACCCCCAGTACCAATGCACTGGCCACCCCTTATGAGGAGGTAGCCTTGTATCAGCGCCTCCCGCAGGAGAACCACCGCCTCATCATCCTCATTGGTGAGAGGAAAACCTTCAGAAAACAGAAGGTTACAATTTTCTGAAAGCAGCTTAACTTTGCATAATTGCATATTTTTAAAGCAAAGAAGAAAGGTTCCTTAGGGAATGTTAAAGAGAAAACAGTCTGAACATTCAGTTCAGAAAACTGAAAATAAATAAGAATAACACAATTATATCTATGTGTTTACTTTGCTTAACAAACTGTTCAGACTGTTGTGCTGCAGATATCAGAATGTATAATATTAGCTCCTATTGTGCTATTATGGCTTCTCCCTTGTCCACATTGTCAGAGTACAATTCAATTCAGTTTATTAATATAGTGACAATTTACAACACATGACATCTAAAGGTACTTTACAGTTCAACCAGATCATCCAGTCAAATTGATTCAAAGTTTTCTATTTACCGGTAAGAAAAAAACTGGTTGATTACACTGACTCATTGACTCGAAGGCAATCCCTCACACCAAGCATGCTTGTAGCGACAATGGAGAGAAACAACCATCTTTTAACAGGAAGAAACCTCCAGCAGAGCCAGGCTCAGTGTGTGCGGCCATCTGCCAAGGCCGACTGGGGTTCAAGGAGACAGAAACAGAAAAATAAGCAGAGATACAAAAGGCAAATGTAAACCAGCTCCACAAGCAGCCCTGACCAGGAAACACACAGCCATGAAGCTCTGAGCCAGCTCCCATGTCAGAGGATGAAGGTAGCACATCCAGCTAGTCAGGGTCAGAGAAAAAAACTCTGAAAAACAGGCCGATTGATGGCAGCAGCACAGCTGATATTTCTCTCCAGGATGGAGTCACAGCCAAACAAGAACAGACCAGATGAAGCTACTATGAGAAAATAGCAGAGAAAACATAGTGTAAGAAATTGAACCAACAAATTCTGCAGGGTGGGAGAACAGAGATAGAATGAAGCAGAATGATGAAATGGGGGTCCCTATGTCCTCCAGCAGTATAAGCCTATAGCAGCATAACTATAGAGATAGCTCAGACAATCAGAGCCTCTCTAACAATAAGATTTATCAAAAGATATCCAAACCAAACTATTGTATTCTGGGAAATGTATTATTGCCCCTATAATTAAATATTTTAGATTGTCATATGTTGGAGGGCTATATCTAATTTAACTCATGCCTGTTGGCCAAAGAATAATCAGGCGGCTGTCTGATAAGATTATGTTTGTCAAAAGCATCAAACGGACCTTAAAATGCAATACATCAAGCTTTAATCACAGATGGGAAACAAAGCAAATAATATTCATCATTCAAGAAATGGTTATCTGGTCTAATGGTTCAAATGCTGAAGTACTTCATTGACCATGACCTGGATTACTGAGAATCTACAGAGATATGTTACTTCATTAAATGACAGAGTCATTATCTAAAAATAGAGAAAACACTGAGCTTTCCCAGAAGAATCTATCAAAATAAAAAATTTTCAAAGATATCATCAGCCTAACTGATCTAGTTGACACTAAACCAATATCTAAAGCCATGCAGGCCGTGTTTGTTTCAGTTAAGGTCAGAGTTCAAGTCTCTACGACATGAAAGAGACTGGAAAAATATTACGGTTTTAAGATTTATATTTCCATAGGTTGGTATTGTGAACCTTATTTGTGTGTTTTTACAAGATGTGATACATTATTACACCAAATGCAAACAAATATTGTAAACAAAACATTTAGTAGCTAGATTGTAGTTCTATAACCACAAATCAATGCTGTAGACCATGAGCATGAAATAACAAAATATATCCAAGACTGAAAAAACTGATCTGATGCGGTCAATAAACACAACCAGTCAAAGGAACTTTGTTTTTATCCAAGAACAGGTGCTTCAGGAGTTGGAGTCAACGAGCTGAGGAAGAGACTCATCAAACTAAACCCTTCAACCTTCCAGGGACCCGTACCTCGTATGTTTTCTCAGCTCATTTATGACACTTTAGTTTTGCAGCTCCTCTTTGTTATAAACTGATAATTGAAATCCATGGAAAAATGACTTGAAAACAAAACACATTAATTTCTTTATAGAAAAGAATGTGACTTTGACTTAAATCTTTTGTATTATATTCACATTTTTATATCTTAATGTAGTAAATATTGTTCTATTGCAGCAAAACATACATTTTATAAATAGAATTTGAAGAAAATGAAACCCAAAAATCCAACAAGAATTTCTTAATTAAAAAAGGTTTCGAGAAGACCTTTGCTGTTGTCTCAGATTAAATTTTGCCACATTATTTGATTTTTATTTTTTTTATATTTTATTTTTTCAGACTGTAACAAAAAAAAGTGTTTCTTTTTCAAATGTATTTTTGTTATCATCTATTTATTTGTTTTTATGGATTTTATTCTTTTCATACCAGGCTTCACAGCTTACTCGCCTTACATTTTCAGCCCAATCCACAACTCTTGTCTTGACCAATAAAAATGTTGTTGCCAACCACCATGCAGACCAATAGATATGCGTCTTCACTCCTTACTGCAGAGTAAGGCCCACCTCCAGAAGTAAAGAAAATGTATCTGTACTTATCAATTTTCAAAAATTCAGTTAGTAAAACCTCAATCTCTGAGTAACTTAAAAAACAAAATTTGAAAACATGAAATCTGTAAATAAAGAAATGAAAAGATACAATACCGGTATATTTAAAAAAAAAATAAAAAATAAACAATTTGAGAACACAACAAAGTTACTCTCAAAACCTTCTTTGATTAAGTATTTGTGGATTACATTGTTTTTTTTTCACCCAAAATTTCCCTTTCAGTTATCCAGATTAAAGAAGGGGAGCATAATTTAATTATTGTTCTACTTATTAGTTGGAATTGAACTGAATAAAACGTTTTAATCCCCAAAGAAAACAACAATTATAAAGTGGAAATGGTGGAAATATAAATAAGAATAAAACAAATCAGCACTAAACATAAACTGATTTAATTAGACTGAAATTTGTTAGAAGTCTATAAGTTATAAGTCTGATGTAAAGTAGATTCATAATCAAAAACAGCAGCCAAGTGTATAACATTACACAGATTTAGAGCAGCACACCCAGACAGTCTCTATCCATTGCTGCTCTTTTATTGTGAAATTTACAATCAAATAATTTAATGGAAAACGTTAACTAGTTAAACGATGTCCCTAATATCCACAGGATGTACATTTGTTGCCGTTTCCAAATTCAGTATAGGTCCTACTATTTAAATTCCCGGTCCACTAAACCTAGAATAATTTATAACACCAAAAGCAGAAATACTTTTTTATTGTTGGAAATATGGAGCTAATCTTTCTTTGTTTTGCACATCTCATTTAGAGCTCAAGTTATTTTTAGGAAATGCAATAGAAATTAGTTCCCTTTTGGTTTCATTTGTAACTACCCAACAGTTCCTGATTAATTAGTGTTCTTGGTAGCTACACATTAGTTCTCTTTGATTCCTTGGTATCTATCCATTAGTGTCTGATTAGTTACTCTTTGTTTTCTTGGTAACAAAACATTGGTTCCTCATTAGTTCCTATTTGTTTCCTTTGGTAACTAGACATTAGTTCCTACTTAGTTACGCTTTAGTTACTCTTTAGTTCCTTGGTAACTATACATTAGTCTGCTATTAGTTCTCCAGGTGTTCTCTCGTAGTTAATATTTGTACCTTATTGTGAAGTTTAACCAATTTAAGATATTCTTCCCATGATAAAATTATGCCACAATGTGCTCCTGTAGATACAACTCGCCCAATGAGAGACGGGGAGCAGGCAGGCAGAGAGTACCACTTTGTCACTAAAGAACTGTTTGAGTACATGGTTTGCAACCACAGGTAGGATTCTTTAGTACCATCCTTTGTGAAAGGTATGCCTGCTTTTGTACTCCATTAGTGATGATCTGCATAATTCTCTGTGTTCAGATTTGTTGAGTATGGGGAGAGTAAAGGTCACCTGTATGGAACCAGCATTGATGCCATTCACGATGTGCTAAAACGAGGCCGGATGTGCATCATTGATGTTGAACCACCAGTGAGTTCACTAAGGAAGCCAACATGTTAAGAGTTTTCTACACTTCCTGATGTTAAGTTTATGTTATGTGATCCAGTGGAGTCAAATACATTTCCTGCCTTCCTAATATTGTCCTATTCATAATTCAAATTCATATTAAGTCATTTA